CACCAACAAATTGCAGATATATAAAAACAAAGTCAAAAAAATTAGAGAGGAGGAATTAAGCAAAGCTAACTGATTTAACGGTGTCTATATAAGCTTTTGAAGCCATGTCCGGACACCAAACAAGCTTCATGTCTTCTAGCTTAAAGAGAAACTAAATTGAGACTTTTTTTTTTGAGAAAGAGGGACTAAATTGAGACTTAACTAGAAAGAGAGATTAAGAAAGCTATGGTGAGAAAATCAAATGTTGGCTTTTAAATAGGTGGGAGAAGGGGATAACGCTTTTGCATTTTTTTCCAAAAGCCATTAAATTTTGTTTGTACGGATCTTGATAATGAAATGACACGGACCTTTCATAGAAGAGTTTTGTCCTAAGCAGCATCATTATCTATAATTTGATTAATTAATTAATTGGTGTACTATAGAAATAAGTTTTTTATATTATTTTTTCATATAATTTTTACATATTATTAAATAAATAAATGTATTCAATATCATGAGTTTTACATTAATTAAAAAACTAATTAATTTAATGATAGTAAAATTGTATAAAAAGATGAAATAAGAAGATTATACAAAAATTATTTTTCTTAATTAATTTAAGGTTTAAGTTAGATAATTGACCTTAGAAAAATATTATTTAAGCTTTTAATCGTAACAAGTTGTATCCAAATAAAAATGCAAATATTTTTTTTTTTGATATAACCATCCGGTATCCAGAAGCCCATTGAGCTACTGACTAATTCGGATTCGAGCCGTGTAGGACCCAATGGACGGCAGAGCTCTCCCTCATGAGTTTTAACGGAGCTGCATTCTCAGGACTTGAACTCAAGACCTCTGGTTAAGCTGGAAGAGTCCCAGCCAACTCATCCACCCGCTCATGGGTTAAAAATGCAAATATTAGCTCCTAGCCTTGTAGACCCTTTGGTAAAGAGGTGCATCTTCTGGCCTCGAGTTGAATTCAAATTTTTCTCTCTCCTTTTAAAATTCTACTTGTTTAAAAAAAATGCAAGTATTATGTATAGAGATGGGTGTATATTATTTTTTATTTT